AGAGCTTTGACCAAAACATAGATTGTCGTTTAAACTATAAAAACTGTTCTTATAAACGAAAAAGTTCAAACAATAAATTGAAGCAACAAACATTTCTTTTCATCCATCAAAAATTAATCCTTACTCGTTTATCAAAATCATGTTCCCAGCGTTATAATAACCACCTCAAACCACTCTTCAAGTGCTGAAATAATTGTTTTTCATTCAATTCTCTTCTATTAACTGATAAATCCCTTTTCTATTACTTTAGTTGACTGACCCTCCTTTTATCCGCTACTTCAAATCAGTACCATTTCCATTTACGCATAGTTTTTGCAACCCCCTTGTTCGATTAGCAACAAAAAAAATGGGAGAATTTTATTGTGGTGTTCCTTTTATTACTTCTCACGCTTTCCCCTTCTTTTACCAGCAAAAAGTCCTTCTCTATTTGCTTCACCCCACGTAATGGTCTTTTTGGAAAGAAATTCGAACAAAGAGACTGCACCATTCAGGTATATTTCTCTTTGAACGAATCTTGTTTTCGATTCAGATTCTTTTTTTTCTTTCAGGGGTACAAATTTACTAAAAGAGATGTGATATAAATTATTCTTGAAGTTTCGGTTCTTCACTATTAGATTATGCATGTACATAAATGAATCGTACTTAAATATTTTGTTCTAGCAAATTAGATTGACGAATTCTACGAATCATTCAGCATTGAGCACACTGAGTCAGATTTGCAATATACATTAAAATATTAAAATATTTTATAATATTATAATATTATTATAATATTTTAAATGTGGAAACGCGGATATGAACTTACGTAATCATCATTCAAACTTTTTTTACGAGTAGTATGTCATGATATCATACATTATTATTTTTTTTTTCTGATATAGCGAGTGAATAAAGGATGAAAAGAATGTGGTAAGAAGAAAAACAAATCATATAATCAGTTAGTCGGGAGTTGAGAAAATTAATGACTAGAACTGGTAACTAAATAAAAGTGTTTATTTAGTTACCGTTAGTTAAATTAAAAAAATCTATAATTTGAGGAACTGCAATCAATCAATCAATTTATATGCTTGTACACTTTAGTAGGCTATTTTTTTACAATAAAATCACTTTCGAAGAAGGAAATGATTAAAATTTATACTGAGTTTTGGTTTTGTACCTATGCTTATGACATATTTGAAGCATAAATAATGAAAAATTTATATTTAATGTTTTCACGTTGTAAATCTATGACTTCGGATTTTATGGGCATTAAACTAGCATAGTTCTTTTATAAACACGATTTACTGTGAAAATACTAACATTTCTGTGTGGTTCATTATAAAAAAAATTCATACAAAAATTACCATACGATGAACGTTTTTCTTTGATATTTATGCTTTGACCAAGACAGAAATTNTTTTTAATCAATGAGCCAAGTTCTTCAAGAAGCAGTTGTAGAAGTAGCTGGATGGAAGTTTTTTTTTATTTAAAACTTTTCATAGAATTTCTTTAAAAACACAATTGTTAATCTGGGCATTTGGCGATACAACACTTATAGAATTGAAGGTTTTGTTACGTCAAGCGCTCAGGTATCACAATTTTGATCTAGTTACGCTCCTATGTCATTTTGATTTATGTTGCTAAGTTAACTTTCAAAAATGTCCATGGCTGGCAACAGCATTTTTATTTCTCAAGTTGTTTATTTTTATTTCTTTTGAAATTCGTTCTTTTTTTAGAGAATTGTTTTTTAACCTAACAGAATTCTTTGCCGACTGTTCTCTGTATATATGAAGAAAATAAAGTAAATATTTAAGTGTTGTGAAAAGAATCTTATTTAGTACCTCTCAAAGTACCTCTTTAAAAATGAAAACTGTTGCCACCGGCGGTTAAGAAATGCAGCCAAAATTTGGGAGCCACGTAAGAGAATTATATATATTAGATTATAATAATATTTCAATGATGGAAACGCGGATATGGATTTACGCAATCATCATTAAAAGTTTTTTTACGAATAGCATGTCATGATATCATACATTATTATTTTTCCTGATATAGCGAGTGAATAAAGGATGAAAAGAATGAGGTAAGAAGAAAAACGAATCATATAATCAGTTAGTGAGAGGTTGAGTGAATTCATGACTAGAACTGGTAACTAAATAAAAGTGTTTATTTAGTTACCGTTAGATAAATTTAAAAAAATCTATAATTTGGGGAACTGCAATCAATCAATCAATTTATGTGTTTGTACACTTTTGTAAGCTATTTTTTTAATAAAATCACTTTCGAAGAAAAAAATGATTAAAATTTATATTGAGTTTTGGTTTTGTACCTTAGTTTCTGACATGCTTGAAGCATAAATAATGAAAAATTTATGCTTAATGTTTTCACACTGGAAACCTATGATTTTGGATTTTATAGGTATTAAACTAGCATTGTACTTTTATAAACATGATTTACTGTGAAAATGCTAACATTTCTGTGTGGTTTATTATAAAATAATTCATACAAAAATTTATATATGAGGAACTTTTTTCTTTGATATTTATGCTTTGAACAAGACAGAATGCAAAAGCATGCAAAATTAAAACTTTTTGAACTGCAGAAGTGTTTTCCTAAGCAATATAAATAATATAGTGGAAAACTAAACTTTTTTTTCATTTAAATAAAAATGTATTAGATATAAATTGAGATGTTGAAAAATCCCGTTCTAAAAATAAAATTTCAGATAGTGAATCTATCTATGCCTGTTTTGAAATAATAATGTCACATATTTTTAAAAGTGAAATAAGATTGTTTCCAGCATTTGCGAAACTGTGACTGTGAAACATTTCATGATATATTTTAAAATAAAGTTTAAATAGGCTTTTTAAATTTATATAAATTTTCTATCTAAATTTAGCTGAAATATTTTTACTCGAAAGGCTTTATTGGTGGATGTCCGATTTTTCCAGATCTCGTTTAAAAAGAAGCAAATGAAAAGAATATAGTTTACCAATGGATTTGAAAATTTGAAACTTAGGTATTAAATTATTATTTTATTAATTATAATGCATTACAGATCATGAAAATAACATAAAAAATATATAACTAAAATTCTCAAACTTGCAATCAACGTTTTATTTTGACTTAATAAATATTTTCCTTTAATTGCTAAAATTAGAAAATTTTAATTAATAAAATTTACTAATTTTTTCATGTAAAATTCGAAAGAGATTAAAAAAACTATATGCACCTTCAAAGAATATCTCACACAATATTTAAGTATTTTTTTTTTTAATGATCTTTGTTCAAGAGTTCTTTTTCTTTAGCTAAAACATGTGGATACGGAGGGGTTGCAGTTAATTTACTAAAACACAAGGATTTTAAATACGGTCTTTCAAAAGTTTTTCAGGTGAAAACTTTTTAGTTAAGTGTCATGCACATTGAAACCGCACACGTTGATACCATTAAATCAGATTACAGTTTCATGTACATTGAAACTGCTATCTAACTTTAAAAAAAAAAAAAAAAAAAACAAGATTAAATTTAATTGACTCTTTTTGATAATACTTGAGATTGTAAACTACAGTTTACTATATACTTTCTAGGCCATATACTTGCTTAAAAATTTAAACTAATAGATATTATATAATCAAAAAAAAATCTTAATGATTTTAAGAGATTGCGAAAAATAAAATTATTTTCTGTTTGTCGTGTGTATATGAATTTATTTTTTTCATTTTTGAAAACTTGGGAAATATATGAATATAATAACCTAACCGACTCAATATTAAGATTTTAATTTTCGATAATTTTTAAACTGTAACAATTTATTGTTTATGCAAATATTTGTATACCGATGCAACAAAATAAATTATATACTTGAAAATTAGTAAGCAATATAAATTATGTATCTGAAAATTTTTATTCCTAGCATAAAATTTAATTGTTGCTTTTAAATTACTATCATATCCATATTTTTAAAACAGAAATTAATGGAATACGAAAATTGCTTTGATATTCTTTAAAAATCAAAATTAATTATCATTACTATACTTTATTATTGACAACGGTGCATAAAAGAAAATAATCTTGAGAATTTTGACTAGTTTATTCTTGACAAAAACAACTACAAGTTTTTAATCTGTTCATTTTTTCTGAAATAACGATAAAAGGTTACCGATGTTTGATTCATTATCTTTAACAAATTGCAAAATCTCAAAATATAATTGCTTTACGCTATTACTTATCAAAACTGAAGCGCGAAATTAATTTTAATTCTAGATTGGCGCTGTTGGCGATCAGATTTAAAGTCGCCAAACCGCCGACGGATTGGATAAGAGAAGTTGACACGGGAAGCGCTTCTTCAATGGACGAGTACGAGTCGGTCGAATAGGATTAAAAAATGAAATATGTGAGATTACGGAATTTTATTCAACACGTGTTGTTCCAAACATGGAAATTTCGGGAAAACATGTTAAATTTGCTTCCATAAATACCTATGTTAACTTTCAAAAACAATTAGGATTTAAATCGCGAATTGATTTTGAATAAGTTATTATAAGAAATTAAGATTATAAATTTTAAAAGTAAAATTAACACGCCAGGAAAATTTAATAAGTGTCAAGAAATATGTATATACATTTAAATGTTAATAAGTGTCAGTTTAAAATTTTTACATAAAGGATTATCATTGTGGAAAAAATTTGCAGGTATGACTTTTAACATGTTTAAATTTTGGTCTAATTAATCAGAGAAATTTAAAAAATATTTTTCAATATTTTAAATATAGTTCTTTTCTTAAAACAAACCATAAAAAATTCTTTCAGATATATTTTTTCACTATTTATTTTTAAAACTATCAAAGATCATTGATATAATTATAAAATAAAAACTTTACATTCATATCACAACTAAAATGTATTCTTTTTTTTTAAATGAAATAAAAATAACAGATGGTCATATTTTAATTTAATGGACTTCATAAATATTAAATTATTATAAAGTATTGAAAATTACCATATTTATTTACATAAATTTTTTTGATATCTTAGATATATGGTAGATCATCTATTAACTTCTTTCATTTCTTATAAATATATAGTGTTAAACATTTTAAGCTTTCAAAACTTATGAAGATTTACATTCGCGTAGAAACAATCACTTAAATAAGTTTATCTTTTGGAGACACTAATTGTTTATTAAGCTTAACTCACTTAAAAGTTCGCGAGACCTATTATCACCTGCACTAAAAATGTAATTAGAGAATTATAGAGACAAAAATTTTTACCCGATTGAATGAAGGCAAAATCTAATCTTCTCTTGAAAACTCATTAATGAAAGATCGTTAGCGAAGGTTTGTTAGATTCTGCAGAAATTCTAATGCCTCATAATTGCTCATTAACGCCTAAACCGACTTATTTCGTTTTAATGACAACTCGGCGCGCCACTAATCCTGTTTCATTGTGGCCCGCAATTATCCAAAATTAGCAATCTCAAAGTGAAATTGTTTTCTTACGAGATTGAGCTGCTTCGTTAATAGGGGATTAAGCGTTGTTCTACGAAACTTTTTCCCCAGTTTCAGAAGATAATTGATTGGGTATTTGTTTTAGGTTGAATTTATTTTTTAATTAGTTTTAAATCTTTTTCTAAGAAGCTCGCTTCCGATTAATGCATGCAAACTGTTCTTATTAAGTAAAACTGCGTAAAATTTTTATTAATCTAACTGTGTATATTGTTTAAAATTTATAAAAGGAATCCTTAAAGGATAAAGAAGATTATAACATAGGAAAAAAAAGAAGAAGAAATAAAAAAAGATTATAAAACAAAAAAAAAATTAAGACTTTGAAGAGTTTAGCTTAAGTTTTATTTCTTATTGATTTGAACCGAAAACGAACTAACTACCTGAAATAAAATTATTTTATTTTATTTTAACTTAGTAGGTAAAGGTATTTGTATCAGATTTAGACTACCAGAAACATAGAATCTTTAAAGTCATTTATCTACCAAAAACAAATAATAAATAAAAAAAAATTTAATATCAATGATAGCTTAAAACTGATATTTAGAGGTTATGTCTGTTGACAATCATCAGGACTTGCAAGTTTGTTGTAAATATTTTCCCCACTCATAATAAGAACAATTAGTTTCTAAACATGTATAGAGAAATTCTAGAATATTTCCAACTAGAACAAACTCATACTCGTTCTAGTGACTACGTTCTTCTTCGACAACCACTCTGGTATTCCTTTTCGAAGGAAATTGTCGAACATAAGCACTATGTCAACGCCGAACGTTGGGAGACATCTTGGACTGTGGTCGTAATGTGGACACTCTTATCTCTTCTAGTCACTTTCACTTGCACAACAGGATTTGTCGAAACAGAGTGGTTCGTACGAGAGAACAGCACTTCCAATGAACAGACTATACTGTCCTACGACCGATCTTCTCTTGTATACACACTGAGTATGTTCAATGTCTGCTACAGAGACAAAATGCAGGCAAGTTTTCATTGTCATCGATTCGAGATCACCAGATTTCCATCGACAGCATGGCAGGGAACGTGTCTGTTGTACGGCATGGGCTGTGTGCTGCAAGGCTTTGGAACTATTTTGCTGATTATTTGTCTTGTGAATAAAAGTGGTGCGATTAGAAGAGCTGGTGCACTCTTGTCTTCATATGCACATGTTGCGGCTGGTAAGTATGGCGTCTTGATACTTTTTTATCATTTAAAAAATTATCAGATTTTTAAAAGTAGCGTGAAAATAACTTTTGGGGGTGACACAAAGAGTTTTTTTTCGACTGCCGTTTATGTAATTTAATTTAGACCGTACAACAATGCATTTTGATGTGTACCATAGTCAGTGAGATATTGTGGAACGATAGAAAGTTTCAATTTTTATGCTTCTACATTCTTAGTTATAAGAAAGGCTGTGGTATTGCCTTTTTAAAAATAAGCTATTGTGAATAAAAAATATGTCATTTCTAATTTTAAGGGATGCATATAAATAAATTTAAAAATTTATATACTTTAAACTACTACGATTTATTATTTACAAAGGAAATCCCCTATTTATTTTTCCTATTTTGCATTGGCAGCAACGAATTGAAATATCAAGCGTATGAGCTATCACATTCATGAAAGCGTGTAAACGTACTTGTTTATAAATTTCAGAATGAAGTAATTTTCTCACGTGGACAACGAAAGCATGAAACAAACTGAGCAATAGGTTAGGAAGAATTGAAAGGTTGAAAGTGATCTAACAAATGGTATCAACTAACAAAGTGACCTTAACATGTTTAATTATGCTAATGCTGACTAAGCAATTTTTATTTTATTAATTGTTATTGTTGTTCATTTAAAAATTAGTATTTGTCGTGCTGTTTTATTCCTTAAAAGCATAATAATGCTGCATGCCATTTATTTCAATTTAAGTTTTTTATTTTAATAACTTACGATTGACTAAAAATGATTTTTTTGAGAGAAATTAAATTAAAAGATAATTGATTTAATATCTTAAGAATTAACGCTAGAACGCATTTTAAATAAGTTTTAATAAGTAGCAAGCAAAGCGAGCATGGTTTGCAGGGCAAAATCATGGTTGTGATCTTATATGGTTACATATCAAACCATATAAAATAGGATAGCTATCCTCCGGGCAGATCGAGGAATGTCAGCAAACATTGCGAGCAGCTCATTAGTATGTATATAAATCATGAAATTATTTTAGGAAATTATGTATAAACCAACGGAAATCCGTAAATTTTAGAATAAAAAATAGTATTTTTGTAGTTTAAGGACATTAGATAGAAAAATTATGCATTATTAGAACTATTGAGAGAAACGTGCACTTAGTGTCTCCTTCAATGCTTCGCCTAACCTCACTTATTGAAATACATTTTTGTAAATTTTTAACAATTTCTTATAGTATTTCCATTACATTTACTGAGTAGTTTGTTACTTTTGCATGTTTAAAACAGGATATTTTATGTCAATAAGTTGCATTTCATTTTCTTTTGTTAAAAGTGAAGAAAATGCAAACTCTTAGTGAAAGTTATGAAATTATCCAATTTTTGAAAGTGTTCTTTTAATTTTTGATATTCAACTGATAATTAACTCAAAAATTTTCGAAAACATTTACTTAGATAAGAAAAATCTTTCTGAATCGAGATTCCGAGATCCGATATTTCTTAATTTTTATTTTTTTATGCACCAAAATAAAATGAAAAAAACTATTAAATTATTTTTCAGCATTATTTTCTGAGACATTAAAACAGATAAGGTTCTTTTATTTTTTGTTTAAAATTTTCTCTTATAAATGCTGAAATGTTGATTGGTTTAGTCATCCGGCTTTGTTTTATATAAAAATTTAGAAACAATATTTAAAAAATTGAAATAGATTTGCTCAATTTTCTATTTAAAATAGAATTTCTTTAATTTGACGAAAATTAAATATTTAAAAAAGTCTTTTAGCTTTTAAAAATTAAAAATACTTTTTTAAATAATTTATTGCATTTAGTATTTTATTATATACATTTTTAACATAAAAGTGTCTAGAATATATATTAAAAAAATAATTTCAAGATTTAAATGGCTTGAAAAGAAATGCATTTTTTGTATTTGAAATTTTATCATTTTTTATCTATGCAAACATATATTCAATAGCACTTATAAGGATATAAAACTTGAAAGCTATTCAAGTAATATTTTTTATAAACCTTATTCTACTGAGAAAGAATTATATCAAAAGGAACATTTTAATCAGATGTAAATAAAGCCGTACTTTAAAAAATAAGTTTTTTTCGAATAAGCCGTTTTTTTCGAATTCTTTTTGAAACTTAGTAAATTAGATGCTTAGTAAATGCATAACTGACCAACAAATATTAATTTCCTTAAAAGAAAATCATTTTAAAAGTTTAACTTTTCAGTCAAATAAAAAAGTTTTAAGTGCAATAAAATATTTAAGATAACTAATTTCAAATTTTAATTTTATATTTAAACAAAGAAAGCCACTTTAAAAGGAATTATATGATTTTTGTTACGACATTTAATGAAATGTGTATTATTAAGTTAGTTTCGAGAGCACATTTATTTTTTAAATAGAAATTAGTCTTAGCAAAACGTTCACTTTTCTAATTGAACGAAATTATCTTGAAAGACAGGATTTATCAATTAAATAATTACAGACTACTACTGCAATCAAAACAACAACAAGCGCATATACAATGAAAACTTCATTAATAGTTAATATAGTGTGAGTTTTTAATCAAATTGAATGAAAATAAAAATAAAATCAATTTCGGGAATACAAAGAATGTTGCTTTGCGAAATACATACTTAAAATTTGAGTAAATCTAATTTTTTCCGTATGTACATAAATACCGAAAACACTTCTTATTTTTCATTTATACAAAGAAGATACATATTGATCATGCGATTGTAAAACTGACATTGTGCAACATAAAATAAGGCAATAACAATTACATATAAATATCATATGTTTATTATTAGAAATAAAACCAAAATGATTTAAAGAAGTAATATTTTTGAAGTTGAAAGAGTTATACGATGAAAAAAATATAATCAAATATTATAATTGCCATACAAAAATTCTTATTGCTTACAAACTCTTAATTCTATAGACTTAATTTTGATTTTATTGACTTAGCGTAATACAGTATATATGATGAAAAATGCATCGCATGTTGCCTGACGGGGGAATAAGTTTAAATCTAAATTGCATTTTGCTTACATGAAACCTTTTTTATACTAATAAATTCTAAATTAAGATTTTGATTAAATTCTACTCAGTGTAAGAAAATATATGGGAATCAATACGTCACTTGCTTAGGTAGCTATGTCATACAAGTAATTTAGTATTGGTACAGATTTGTACTCTTAATACTTTTAAGCTTTTTAACATTCAAACTTTTTAATACTCAAAACTTTTAACGTTCAAACTTTTTAACATTCAAACTTACAATCCTATTTACTTTGTTTCGGGTTTTTTTCTCTAATTCAGTGCAAAAAAAATACAAACGAAGCACTGCCTCATTAGTTTGATAGCACTGTCAGAAATTTAAGATATCATTTTATACAAGCTATTAGGTAATTAGATATAAGTTTATGACTGTACTTTTACCAAAATATCTAAATTATTTGTTTTAACAACTTGAAATTAGTTTCAATTGATTCGTAAAAAGAGCATCGGAAACAATCCCTCATTTGTCTAGATCGCAATAATGAAGCCTATATCTCTATTAGCTCTTCTCATCTCTCAAGTTTCCCTTAGAGAATGAATATACAGGATTTAATTGTTACATAATATAGAATATTTAATTTGTTACAGAAATATTGTAAAGGCAGTATTTTCAAAATAAGTTTTTTTTTATCTAAATTATATATGCTTCGTTACATTTTTAAAACTTAATCATTAAAAAAGTATGTGGGATATCATAATATATTAATAAAAAATTATTTTGAACTGTTTTCTGGGTCTTAAAATAACCCAACCTAAAACCTCGGGTGAATTACAAAGCTATATTTGACTATGTTAGTAGAAATTTTTTTAAAAATGTACATTTTATTGTGGAGTAAAAAAGCGTTCATGATATTGTTGAGGGAATTAATGAAACCATATGACTATAATGTCTTATATTTTTATTCTATACTCTGCTCAATCCTAACGAAACTGTATTTTCCAATTCAAAAATTAACAATCAGAAAACCAATGATATATATTTTTCATAATTTTCCAACCAAATAAGTAATCGCATGGTGTTTAAACAAATAATTTGCATACTATGTCAAAAAGTATCAGCACCATTTTCATGTTATTTTTAACGCATGTATGTAGTCAAAACTAACCGCTGCATAGATCAAAATGAATAATACGAGACACTTAAAAAAGAAAGAAATGTAAATTATTTTTTGTCATTATTAATTATTTTATTATCTTTGTTAATAAATATTATTTAAAATAATGGTAGTATAATAAAGTAATTATGCTATTTATTCTATATATCGTTAACAAAGTGCACTATTTATTCTATATATCGCTAACAAAGTGAACTATTTATTCTATGTATCGTTAACAAACTGCACTATTCTATGTATCGCTAACAAGTGCACTATTTATTTTATATGTCGTTATCATACACTTTTTACGTCTGCGTCAAAGCCAATTACAATAACTAAGACTTTTTTTAAATGAAAAAAAGTTATATTATGGGCTTAGAAAGAACTCAATAATGCCGAGGGGATATGCAATCTTTAAACTTATATGATTATTACGCAACTGGTATGTATTTTTCTAAATTTTATTTTTTTGTCAAGATTGTAATGAATAAAGAAAATAATGGCTTTTAATTCATAGTTCTTAAAATACTTCATAATGCTAATTTTTGTAATCATAAAGAGAGTTAAATGTAAAATAATGGTAAATAGAAACACTTAATGGTAATCGAAAATACATACACTTTATTCACTTTTAATTTTACTAAAACTGTTAGGAAAGAAAGTGGTTTTGAATACCACCCTTCTAATAACATATATTACTCCTAATCCAGATTATATCTGAAATTGCGATACCGACTTAATTGAAAATTTGTAAACCAACCATAATAAGTTTTAAAATTATCAAGATTGGACAAAGGATCTAATTAAGTTTACAGGAAACTTCAAAGAGTTTAAAGGC